AGAGAGAGAGAGAGAGAGAGAGAGAGAGAGAGAGAGAGAGACAGAGAGAGAGAGAGAGAAAAGAGAAGCAAAGGGTGAGGTAGCAATGGATGATAGATGGGTGATTAGAAATTTCAATCTAATCACTCTACCATATGATAATAGTAACATCTTGTATAATATAAATGTGCGTGATGTAAGTTTGATTGTGTATTGCTATTGTCACCCTCAGGCATATGCTGATGAGAACAGCCTTGTGTTTGTCGAGACGTCGGCCAAGACAGCGATGAATGTCAACGATGTGTTTCTTACTATCGCCAAGAAGCTGCCAAAAAGTGAGCCAAGTGGGCCATCAGGTGGTGCCAGTAGTAGGCGACTGGATGAGGGAGCCACTGACCAGGCTAGCACTGGTTGCTGCAAGTGAGCATTGAACAGTCAGTGGCTGATTGTCATGCGCGGTGGCAGGGGCATCACTTGGGTCACGACCTTTATCGACCAACTCCTGAGGTCATGACCTTGTGCATCCTGCCACTTGTGTCACTGCTCTACATTTCATTTGCATCCCAAGTTGAAAATTATTGATGGCAATTCAACTTATTTAGCATTTTCGGGGCGCGTATGCACAAAATGGTTTAATTGCTACAGCTGTGTATCTTGACCTTCATCTCTCAGCAAATATTCGAGGATGTTACAGTTACCTCCAGTGTAGGGAGAGCAGATGCAGTGAGAAATACTAATCTATTAGTAAAACTATATGAGTCAATGATGAAGACGCTTGAGAAAGCTAAGTGTCACAAAGAGAATCCATTGATTTGTGTACAGCAATAGGAAGTTTAATGTCAACAAAGTTGTATCAGTAACATTCTCACTACTGGATACTACTTCCTGTACATTATTGAATCAGACAAAAACTTCGTATTTTTACATAGTGGTGATACTGTCACAAATATTTGCAGTGCCACCTATGTGTTTATAGCGTATATTGTGAGCCAATTTCAATTTGAACACAGGCGGTGTAATTTAATGCACAGGATAATACAGGATGCATGGTAGGAGACTTCTCATTTTATCACCGAATATTATTTACATTTTACCAATTAGTATCGCCTATAAACTGATCAACCACATAACATGAGCAAATAAAATTTTGGTGACATGCAAGTATGGATATTGTTTCATTGATGGTAGCACGCTGCCTGTGTACACAAGCAGAAGATGTATAGATGTATTTGCAATTGTATTAATAACTAGGTGGAAATGCATAGATGTATATCGCATATACATAATTTCATTGTATTGCTAGCGGACATTTTATCCAAATAGCGAAACTCTGTGTAGGGTGGAAGAACGAGATATCTGATATTGGTGTTTAATCTTGGCTATGTGTGTACGAGCTTGCTTATAAGTTCTCACTGCATAACAGCTTGTGTGTGTGTGTGTGTGTGTGTGTGTGTGTGTGTGTGTGTGTGTG